ACATAGTTATGTATAATATATTAGATTTCTGACTGTATATCCCTGTAATTATTACACACTGTAGCTTTAATTCATACAGTCCAATTAAATAAATGGATATCAATGTATTTAATTCAGTTTTCATTTAATTTTACTATGCAAAGTAAAATGCATTGCATGGTGTTCAGCCCTGTCCTGAGTAGATATAGTTTGTCTCTCACTAACTAACCCTGCAGAAAGGCTGAGAAGGTCTCCACACATTTCTACACAAAACAAAGACAGACAGTTTGGAAATAACTCATAATGTTATGAAATAATCCCTGAGAAAGAGTCTAGATGTTATGAGAACTGATTATTTTATCCCAAATGCTCCCTAATAGGTTAAACATCCCCCTGTCTCTTAGACATGTTGTGGCCTTGCAGCTCTGAGGCCTGAATGAATAAAACTAAGCAGCACTAATAAATCAATATATGTATAAAATAATAAATAGGAGATTTTTTTCCCTCCGTGGACCATTAGGATATTACACCATTATTGGGAGGGATGGGAAAATCTAGTTCTAAACAATGAAGCATCACCAAACCCAGAATAATTACATGCTTTGCAAAGCCTTGTTTCTCTTGTCGCCTCGGTGACGTTTAAAAGCTGGGTCCTAAAAATGTAAGCAAAAAAAAGGCAAACCATAGGATAGAAACTCTGCACTTACTGTTCTGATTAAAGGAAAGCAGATGAAAATGTAAACACACTAATATCTGACTGTCCAGCTTCTGTAAAAAGACTGCTTTATATAAATTCCTTTACATTTAAAACTTTGCAGCAAATGTTGGGATTTTACTGGAATGGACAGATTTCTTTTGTGGGGGAAAAAGGTGATATTTTTGTATTTTAAGTGGCACCTGAAATCAAACCCGAAATGTGTCAATCAGTAACTTTGTTCTTTTTTTTTACTCTACACAAGTGCTGTTCTATTGATCAGGATTAATTATTGACCGGATCCCACTCAGAGGATAAAGCAATGGATTTTCACCCGGTAGCCCTTTGTCCAGGAGCCACCGGATACATCTGACCAATGCCAGGGGGAAAAATGAGAATTCCACCACTTCCAGTAGCATTCTTCCTGGTTTTTTCCCCCGTCTCTGTCTTCTGTGACCCCAGAGAGCCTCCAGTCCTGCACCATGAAGCTCCACTTGAAACACGCTCTCTGTTTGCTCCTCTGGACGATGTACGTCTCCTGTCCAACGGCCTCCTGAAGCTTGGCCAGAGCATGCGGGAGTTTGTGCAACAGACAAAGGGGCAGATCAACACCATCTTCCAGAAGCTGAACATTTTCGACCGCTCCTTTGTCCAGCTGTCAGCGTTAGCCGGTGAGATCAAGGAGGGGGAGGAGGAGCTAAAACAAACTGCAGAGGTGCTGAACACAAACAATGAAGAAATCAGGGAGCTGTCTGAAACGATCAACTCTAAAATGGAGACCATCCTGCAGGAGAAAAGCCATCTCCTGAACAAAGTAGAGAGTCTGGAAGAGAAGCTGAGCAGGCTGGTTGTGGGCCGAGCCACGGTGACGCAGATAGCAGAGATCAGCAGCCTCAGAGTGAGTGACCTTGTGTGCAGAGAGGATTAAATGAAATGTTTCTGAAGTCTTATTTTAATGATTTGGCCAAAAAAAAAAAAAGACTTGACTTCCAGCAAACCAATTCTTTCTATGTTTACATAAATAATGCATCAATTTTGTTCCATTATTTTTCCAAACAAAGAAAATGTTTCTAAATGAAAAAAAAAAAAAAGACAATCCAAAAATGAAACTTTGATGTTTTAAGCAAAACTTTTTTTTTTCTCAAATTTTGTTACCGGTATCTATATTTTATTTTTTAAATATTTATCGAAACTCTAATTCAACAAATTTTTACTTTCTAACCATTTTTTATCTTATTTTCAAGATGTTTTTATTTGTTTATATTTTTTAAATTCTTTT